GTTGCCCAGAGAAGCTGTGGCTGCTCCATCCCTGGAAGTGTCCCAAGGCCAGGTTGGAGCAACCTGGGCTAGTGGAAGGTGTCCCTGCCCATGGCAGGGGGTGGAATGGGATGAGATTTAAGATCCCTTCCAACCCAAACCAGTCTGGGATTCTGTGACTTAACAAATCTCCGTGCTGGATGTCTCTGGAGAACTGGGAGTGACATTTTCACGCCCCAGTTGGTGGGAAGGACCTCGCAGGAGTAACTCCTGTCTCCTTTGGGAGGTTGGAAGGTTTTTTTTTGCACTTTCTTATCAGCAACTCTTGTCTCAACCAGGTCCTCATTTTTTAGCCTAAAAGGAAATGAGACTTTTAAACTCTTTCTGTGACAGCACTGATGGAATTGTGGAGAGGACAGAGAGCCACCAGGCCCTGAGCTTGGTGCCAGAGGGACTGTTGTGTTATTTTAGGGCTGCTGGAGCTCATCCTGCAGCTGGAGGGGGGTCAATGGCCCCGGGGCCATGCAGGGAGCACAAGGCTCTTCCCCCCAGTGACTGTTTGGACCTTTCCCTCTGCAGCAATGGCAGATGAACGTTGGGATCAGTGAAGACAACGGGCTCTTCTCCTGCTCCATCTGGAGGTGTGTTCTGTGTAACCTCAGCCAAACCAGCAGCCAGGCAGGGGGGATGTGGGACAGGGATTCTGCTTCCCAGGTGGATTTGCCTCCCAGCAGGGGGGGTTTTCCTCTCCCAAGGGGTGCTGTGGCTCTGCTGGGATCTTCACCCAGTGTTGGTTTATAAATATTCTGTGTCCCCCTCTCCCACCCTCAGCGCTGGATGGAGCTGCAGGAGATCCAGAGGTGGCTGTGGAGGGAGGGAGGGAGCTGGGAATCCTTCACTCCTCTGCACCTCCACCCTCTCTGCCGCTGACAAAGGCTCTGCTTTCTCGTTTCAGGCCCCAGGGGAAGTCTTATCTCTTCTTTACCCAGTTTAAAGCTGAAGTGAAAGGAGCCAAGATAGAGTATGCCATGGCTTATGTAAGTCCCAGCTGATCCCTGGGAAGCAGGAGTGTGGGAGGCTGCTATAAAACATGAATTAGGCACGGAAAACATTTATTAGACATCTGTGCAATGAAATGTGCTCCAGCACATCCCGAATTAGAGACTGGTGGCAGGCAGGAGAAGGGCTGCAGGTGGGCTCCTCTGCACCACTGTGTTTCTGCCCCCTCAAATCCGTGGGTTTACTGGGAAGGGGGGGGCTCCAAAAGGCACAGCAAAGCAGGAGTCTTGGATTACCTCAACAAATCGCGTGTGACAAAGTAAATAAAACCTCTCTGGGTGGTTTTGTCTGCCTCCTTCTTCCATTTCCCAGCCTTTAGGGGTGAGGTTTTCCATCACCCCAAGGACACCAGTCTGGGCTTTAATAGGAAATGGAAAAACAGGCAGAGATTTTCCTGCAGATTTCCTTCGTGGACGTAAGTCTTTCGCTCCACACAGCTCCCAGATTAGATTTTTTTTTTGTATTTATTTTTATTCTTTTTCCCCCAAAATGTGCTGCTGTTTGTTCGGTTTGAACGCTGTAACTCCTCGGATTGCCTCAACCCTCTCACACCTTCTTCCTTCCTGTTTCAGTCTCAAGCTGCTGTGGGTGCCCAGAACGACATCCCCTTGAAACAGGAAGAGTTTGAAGTCACTGAAACAACAGGTCTGTGAGGGAGAGAACCGTGTGAGGAAGGGGGTGCTGTGGGAGGCAGTTTAAGCTTAAATCCTAAACACTGAGAGGTGACAGTGCATGGGAGGACAGTGCCAGGGGTGCAGTGCTCTGGAGAACTGGCAGCAGGGGTTTGGGGCTCCCATTCCAGCTCAGTGAGGTGGAGGAAGGAGGGTTTATCCCACCAGCCCGTCACGTGGAGGAGGAGGAAGTTCAGTGCCCAGACTCGCTGCCTTCCCCACCCTGGAAGGGACCCAGCAGGGCTGTTTTGTTCGTGCCTCTGTGCTTTTTTTGGGCTGTTTTGTTCGTGCTTTCCCATCTGTTGATCCTGTGCTTGTTCTCTGTTTCTCTCTCTCTCTCTCTCTCTCCAGTGTCTCACAGGGAAGGCAAGTTCCGTTTCGAACTGTCCAAGCTCATGATTGTAGCAAAAACACCCCGTGACGAGCTGTGACCCCCGAGGCCAGCCCTGGGCAGGGTGTTTTGGCCAGAAGAACGTGGCAGGAACAGAGGATTCCTGGTTTAACTGAGGGGTGTTCTATTTTTCTTTTTGGGGTTGGCCCAACTTTTCTGTTTTTCAATACTGAAACGTGCTGGGGTCCGACACAAATGGGGCTTGGAGGTGTGAGAGGGCACATTTAATTCTGTCTTGTGTCGGAGTAACAACGTGCTTTTGCAGCTGGAAACCTCCCTGGAGATTCCTGATCCACAGGCAGCCATTCCAGGCCCTCTTCCTGCTTGGCTGATCTGCTGAATGTGGCACGGGGGGCTCCTTATCTCCCTTGCTGGGAAGAGCAGTGCAGGAAGATAAGTGAGTGGCTGGATTTAAGCAGGGTTTGCTGAAGGGAAGTTGTTAACTCTGTAGCCTCTGGAGGGGAGATGGGATTTCTCCCTCCACCAGCGTGGCAGGAGGAAATAATTCATTTAGGGAGGAGGAGAGGATGGAGTTGGCCAAAGCTCTCTTGAGACTCTTTATGGAGAGATCATCCCTGGGGTGGATGCCCTGGACCTGCCAGAGCTGGGTTGGGATGGCTTGGATGGGGGGGAAGGCAGAGCAGCTTATTCTGACACAACCAGGAATCAATCCAAGCAGCACTTCCAGCACAACCACAGGACTGTTTTATACCTACGAGAAAAGTGATTTTTTTTTTCTTACCTAGAGTAATAACAGGGAATGTGCAATTCCTTTCCTGTGTAAATCCAGCACAAAATAAAGCAATGAAGCAGCGTGCTCTGGCCTGAGGTTGCTCTGCTCTCTCACTCCTGCCCTTCCCAGCTGGATGGACCTTCAGGGTTTGCTCTGCCAGGAGGAGCCCACGGGAATTTTGAGGGGGCTGCAGAGGGTTTGGGGGGGGTTCTGCCCAGCCAAAGAGAGCCCCAGCATGTGACAACAAGGCTGCTGCAGTTGTCAGTTTGCACTGTCACCTTTGATCCCTTTTGATGGTCGTGATCACTGGTAGGTGCTTTGCCCATTTTTGGGGCAGTTCCCTGTTTTTTTGGCAGTCTGGGGGTGCTTTACACTGGGGGTTTTACGAGCTCTGCTCTCCAGGCTGTTCTGAAATGCATTTTTCTCCTCTGTGTGTCACTTTATGGACCTGTGGGTGACCTGCAGGGCCCAGGAGTGTCCCCAGTGTGCTCCCCCCTGTGCTCTGAGCTGCATTTTGCAGGTCTCTGACCCTTCTGCTGTTTAAACCAGTCACTTGGAAGGAACCAGAGCAAAGGGACTCATTTCCCAAGGTTGGGATGGGAAGCCCAGGCTGTGAGATGGCTCTTCTGGCAGAAAATCTGCTCTCCAGGGCTTCCCTGGGACAAAAAGGGAAGAATTTGGGGGTGAGGTGGGTGTTTGCTGTGGGGAAGAAGGCTCAGCTCAGACACCTGGATGTGAAGAGAAGCTGGTGCCAGGAGTTTGGGGGGGTTAAGTGTGGACCTGGGGTGTAGGAAATCATGGGGACAAAGGGAACAGCCACGAGTGGGGCTCATGTGTCCGAGGAGCATCTTGCAGCTGGCACCGAAACGCACCTTGAGAAGGGACCAGCAAAGCATTTCTGGCTGCCAGCGTGTCCCTCAGCCCCATCTCACCACGTCTGCCCGTGGTTTCCTGCTCTGGCTCCTCTCCAGCACACACCTGACAGCTGCCACCAGCCCAGGGAGCACAGGAATTGTTCTCAGAGGCCACTTCCCCCTGGTACCAACGCCCAGGTGGGTCCTGTGAATGTGCTTTACCTCCACCCCCGAGCTGTGCCACGCAATTGTCTGTGACTGCTGGAGCCAGGGCTGTGAAATGACAGAGATGGGGGCTTGATTTCTCTTTATTTATAATCTTTCAAGGCTGAAAGTTATCAGTGCCTGGAGCCGGCGGTGGGGAGGGAGCGGCAAGCGGGAGCCACGGAGCCGCTCTGAGCTCCGGCAGCCGCCCGTGCCTGGACACATCCCATGGAACAGGAGGCACAAGAAGGTCGTGGAGATAAGGCCAGCTGAGACTGTGTGGTGCCTTGTGTGCTAAAAGGGCAGTTTTCAGTGTTCAGAGCAGAGATCATTGTGCCGGGAGCGGCGGCAGCTCCGAGAGTTCCAACGCGCCCGGATCCGACTCTGCGGAGTCGCCCACGGCCTCCTGCTGTCAGGGTTGTGCTTTTTGGCTCCTGGCTGAGCAGCCAGGGGATGTGGGGATGCAGAGGAGCACGTGTGGGTGTCTGCTGGGTGCGGGATTACACAGAATCTTGGAAGGGTTTGGGTTGGAGGGGCCTTAAAACTCACCCAGTGCCACCCCCTGCCTTGGGCAGGGACACCTTCCACTGGTTCCTTCAACCTGGCCTTGGACACTTCCAGGGATCCAGGGGCAGCCACAGCTTCTCTGGGCAACCTGTGCCAGGGCCTCCCCACCCTCACAGCCAGGAATTCCTTCCCAATATCCCATCTAAATTTCCTCTCTTTCACTTTGAAGCCATTCCCTGTGTCCTGTCCCTCCATCCCTTGTCCCAAGTTCCTCTCCAGCTCTCTTGGAGCCCCTTTAGGCCCTGGAGGGGGCTCTAAGGTCTCCCTGGATCCTTCTCCAGGCTGAACACCCCCAGTTCTCTGCTCCCCCCAGGATCCCAGACCTTTGCTGCCATTTTATGCTGGGTTTAACACCCCGTTTGTTCCACTGGTTCAGCTCTGGCCATGAAAATCCAGGAGCTGCTGTGCCACAGAGCAGGGACAGCCCAGCCAGGGAGCCAGGGAGTACAAACCCCAGGTCACCACCAACCAAAGGACAAACCCAGCTGTCCCCAGGGCTCATTTCATCGCTGTCACCCACTGCTGGAACAACCCCACGGAGCTCCCAGGCCAAACAGGTGAGTTTATTTAAATAACTCATCAGGGCTACAGAGTTTGCTAAAAAAAAGAACAACCATCACTCAGACAACGTGGAAAATGGATGAAATCCCACGGAGAACTTTGGAGAACCACCGAGGGCGGCGTCAGAGCCGTGACAGTCATGGGGAGCTGGTGGGGAGCTGGGGCTTGGATGGTACCTGGGATGCAGGGAAGGAGCAGCTCCCTTGTCCAGGTGAGGTGGGATCCTCATCCTCTCAGGGACTTGTCTTTGAGGAGAGCAAAGCCCACACCTTCCCATCCTGGGCAGCAACACTCTGGACCATGATTTGCTCCCACAGTGTTATGGAGCTGCTGAAGGAAAACCACGGAGCCCCACAACCCTCCAGGAAGGGGGTCTCACAGCCAGCAACATCCCACCTGCTCAGACACCCCTTTCAGAGGTGTTCCACACCACCAGGCTTTGCTTTGGTTTTCCCCCCAGAGGGTTACGACAGAGTTCAAGGCTCAGAGTCCTCCTCGGACTCTGAGCTAAGGACACTTGGTGGGCAAAGGAAATCAAACTGTACAGCAGGAGCCCAAAATCCCAGGATCCCCTGGAGAGGACTCAGCCCAGCGCAGGGAGGGCTTTGAAGCCCCTGGGCAAGGGGTGGGCAAAAGTCAAGGTGTTCAGTCTCCTGTAGAAACGAGGGGAAAACGAGCGAGCCCTGCAGAGGAGGAGGGGGGGCCGTCGAGCCTGGCCGTGCTCAGAGCAGGCAAACAGCCCCACTCCACCCTCCCAGGAGGCAGAGCCCGGCTGCCAAGAGCCTTCAGATGTTGTCCTCCTCCAGCATCTTGTTGACCCCCTCGCAGATCCTCTGCAGGTGGGTGCGGTAGGGCTCGGAGGGCCCGTAGAGCGCCGACAGGAACTCGTAGTCCGCAAAGTGGTTGAAGACGTGGTTGATGCGGGAGTGGGACTTGGCCGTCAGGTGCCCGTTCACGGCCTGGTGCAGCAGGTCCCGGCACTCCAGGAGCACCCCCGACATGACCCTGCGGTCGAAGGTGAAGTCTATCTGGTGGAAGCTGACGGCCGTCATGGCCAAGGTGTGGACCTTCTTGCGGAACCGCTCCATCACCAGCAGCTCCTCGGGGCTGAACTGCCCGTTGCGGTACAGCACGCCCAGCTTCATCACGATCTTGATGAGGTTCTTGATGATCTTCTGGGCCTCCTTGCGGTTGTGGGTGTACTCCTTGGTGGCCCGGTACAGCTCGTCCAGGATCTCGCTGCTGGTGTCGTCGATGAAGACGTTGGCGATGGTTTTGGTGGCCATCTTGCTCAGGAGCTTCTTCTGGGCCTGCAGGGCCAGGTTCTTGGTGCTGAAGGTGTCCATCTCTGTGAGGGCAAGAGGCACACAGGGGTCAGACCATGCCTTGCATCCATCCCCACATCACCTGCAAGCTGGGCTAGTGGGAGGTGTCCCTGCTCATGGCAGGGGGTGGAACAGGCCTGGGCTTTGAGGTCCCTTCCAACCCAAACCACTCCACAGCTCTATCGTTCCTCACCTTCCCACGCAGCCTTTTGGCAGTAGAAAAAGCACCTCCAGCCAACAGCCAGACCGAGGCAGCTGCTGGGTGCCAGGGCAGGCGAGAGCTGAGCTCACACCCCGGCTTTGGATGGTGGGATGAGCTGAGGGGTGTTCCCACCTTCCCTCTCCCAAAACCCCTGTGGAGAACCGACAGCGAGCGAGGTGTCCCTACCTGAGCACTGCCCGTGACCCTCCATCCCCTGCTCCCTCCTGCGCCCGGCACCGCCCCGCTCCCGGGGCAGGAAGGGCTCTTGCCCCATCCCTTCAACATTTTTCCTTCCTTAAACCCTGACTCACTTCCTGCGGGGTGAGCCGGGGACAGCCCAGGTGACAGCTGAGTCACCCCCGCGGCCTCGTGCCACATCCACCCCGGCACTCGGCGTGGCCGGAGCGGCGCGGCCGGTTTGCAGCACCCGCTGATTTGTGTGGGAGCCCTTCTCCCTGGCACTGCCCTCATCCACCCACACGAGCTCGGACTTGTTCTGCCGCTGCCTCAACTCCCTCTGGCGTCGCACGGAGGTGAATAATTCAGCGAGACACAGCCCTCACCTACAGCCCTCACCTACAGCCCTCACCTACAGCCCCGCTCCCGCATCCCGGCGGGACCAAATCCATCACCTCGGGCAGATCGGGCTCTCAAAGCCGCCGTGACGGAATAAAACGCTGCCGACCCTGGAGAGGCGCCTTGGCCCGGGGAAACCGCAGAGCTACAAATCACAGGGAGGCGAGAACAGCGGGAAAACAACCGGCTCCGGAGCCAGGATGGATGGGCAGAGCTGGGGCTGCTTATGCAAGAGGCTGCACATGGCATGGACAGCCTGGCAGAGCGGGAAGGGATGGGCTCAGGCTATAAATACATCCCCCGGGAGGGGAGAGGAGATATTTCAGCTAAAGGAGGCTGCCGGTGTGAGGATGGATGGGGATAAATTGGCCACGGATAGAGAGCAGGTTTAGACTGGATATTAAGAAGAAATCCTTCCCTGGGAGGGTGGGGAGGCCCTGGCACAGGTTGCCCAGAGAAGCTGTGGCTGCCCCATCCCTGGGAGTGTCCAAGGCCAGGTTGGAGCAACCTGGGCTAGTGGAAGATGTCCCTGCCCATGGCAGGGGTGGAACTGGATGAGCTTTAAGGTCCCTCCAACCCAAACCATTCTGGGATTCTGGTGTAGAACTGGGTCTGTCCCCATCACAGGAAGCTCTGTGTCTCCCCTAGGCCAAGCTGCCATCCAGTCCCAGACCCCTTTGGAGACCCCCAATCCTGCTCCTACCACTCTGGAGCACACACCAGGCTCTCAGGAGCAAATCCCAGCTCCCTGTGGAGCCAAGGCTCACCCAGCCAGTCGTGCAAGGACAACTGTGATGGGCCCCGACTCCCCGAGCATCTTCCAGCCTCCAGCTCCCTGAACCCAAGGGCAGCCAAGGCTCTGTGGGGACGTGAATTACGGGAGCAGTGACGGAGCCGCCGCGTGAGCCGCCGCCTGCAGCGTTATTTACGGCCCTCAGGAAAAACACGGAGCTTTGGAAGCGCTTCCTTCAGGGGGAAAGCGTTGACTTGTGCCAGTGGGAGCCTCGAGCTGAGGCTCCTGCACTGGACAAGACAAAAATGACAACACAGAGGTTGTGTGACAGCAGCTTCCAGGTGGGTCGGGCCCTTTTAATTCCAAGGCTGAGTCCAGGAGGTGCCTCCGGAGCCGAGCCCGGAGGGACGGGCAGGGTGGGAAGAGGCAGCGTGGCTCCATCTTCTCTCCCTTGGCTCTAAGGGGACTTCCTTTGGCATCCTCTCCAGAAGGAGCAGGGCTTTGTCACCCTGAAGTCTCCTCCCTTATGGCTGTGGGGTGCCCTGGATAAATAGGAATTCCCACACTGGGCAACCGCAGCCATAAAGCAAGAGCAAACCACCTACAGAGCCCACAGAAAATAGGAAGTGCCATCTCCTGAGAGCTGCCCACAGCTCCCAGATGCCAAGTGGAATAATGGATCAACCCTCTGCTCCCTGCAGCAAACAACACCCGGCCGCCTACAGCCCTTTCCTGCTGGGAACTGGGGTGAGAAGCATCGCTCTTGAGGGAAACTGAGGCACAGAGGGGTCTAGAGACCCCAAAAGCGGTACAGGGACCCCAGAAATGCAACCAGCTCCCGTGAGCTGTTCCACAGGTCGCTCCCCTGCAAACCCCAAGCAGACTCAAGCTCACCTCCCGTTGGCTCCTGCTCAGCACCGGGACGGTTCACGGGGCACCCTCTGCACCACACTGGGACCTGCTGACTCAGCACCAACAGGGAGATTTTCACCGGAACGAGCCGTTTTCCTGCCGGGAAGGGCCCCGCGACCCCATTGTTCGCGGAGGGGCTGCTCTCGGCGCGCGGAAGAGGCAAGTCTTGCCCCGAGGAGCAAACACGAGCCTGAAATAACCCACTTCGCTTCCTTCCTGTCGCTGAAGTTTCCAGCCCGGCTCAGGGCTTGGGTTGCCCCCCCCCCCCCTTTCCACCCCCTTTTTCTTTTTTAATGAAAACGCCCTCAAAAAAACAGCTTCTTCTTCCGAAAAGGAGCAGCCGGGTGTTGCTGTCACCGAGTCCCCTCCCAGCTCCGGAAGAGCGCGGCGGGGCCGCGGTGCCCACGGTGGCTTCGGGGACAGTCACGGCCCTTTTCGGGGGGGTTTCCACCCATTTTGGAGGTGTGGGGGGGGGAGTTCTGCAGCCCTCAGCAGTGGTGTGGAGGTTGGGATGTCCCGTGAGAGGACACAGAGGGTGTCCCCGCCGTGGGACGGGTGTGCTCCCCTGGGGATGGACTCGTGCCGTGGCCACCTCCGCCGGTGGTTTGGTGTTCACCGCGCCGGGACGGCACCCACAGCACCTCACCCAACACCTGCCTGTGACCTCAGCCCCCGGGGACCCCCAAAAATATCTCCCACACCATTTTGGGCACAAGCATCAATTAAAGCTTGAGGGGAACATGAGAGCCCGTCATCCTGCTGGCACCTGGCGCCGGTGGCACCAGCACTCGCCACGGCAGAGCTGCCAAGTGAGCACCAGCTGGAGGCCCTTTATGGAAAGGGGCCAAATCCAGCAGTGACACCATCCCAATTATCATTTCTACCAGTCCCAAAGGACTGTTCACCCTGACTGTCCCCATCACCTGGTTCCCACCAGCAGGCTCCCCCCCCTCCCAAATTTCCCCAGTTCCCTTGGCAGCGGGTGAATATTTCATGCAGGAAAGGGAAAGCACTTAAATAATTTATGGAGCAGCGCAGAGGGGGAGGCTCTGCAAAGCTCCAGCTCAGAGCAGAGACACCTCTGCCTTCTCCTCCTCCTCCTTTTCCTCTTCCCCTCCTCCTCACCAGGGCCATAGGAACTCGTAGTGTCTTGCTACAAGTTCCCTCCAACACGGAAACATCAGTTCCCAACCAGGATAAACATTTAATAGTGGAGATCTCCCTGGTTTTCCCTCCATCCCACAGGCTGTTTCCTCCCACCGATTCAGAAAACACCTCTGGCTCTGCAACCCCAGCATTCCCATTCCTCCCGAATCCTTGGCTAAATGCCAAGGGGGTGGATAGGATCCTGCTCCGTCCCCCGGCATCGCTTTCCACCCACTCCAACCCCTATTAATTAATTAAACGCCGCCGCGCTGGATTACAGGGTGGGAGCGCCGGGAAGTAACCGGAGAGCTCTGCCAGCCTGTCCCCACCATCCGTGACCCCTCCGGCTCCTGGGAGAGCAGTGAGAGAGTGGAGGGAGAGCGGAGGAGGAGGAGGAGGAGGAAGAGAGGAGGAGGGAGGGCTCATGCCGTGCGAGGCACGTTGCCATGGGTGCAAAGAGCAGCCGGAGCCGCCGGGCTGACACACGGATCCCACGGATCCGGCGCGTGTGTGCCCAGCGGGGTGAGGCCGGGGAGGAAGCCGCTGAGTAAACACCTCTCCCGAGGCAAAACTCAGCTCTTGGCAAGGCCGGGATGAACCCTCGGCCAGAGCGAGGGCCGGGAATGCCGCGGGGCATCGCCACGGCCTGGCACCACACTGGCACCAAGCGCTTGGCACGACCCCATCACTGATCACCGCCCCAACACCTCTGGGAGCTGAGCTCCTCCATCCCAAAGTCTCCTTCCCGCACAGATGCACCTACGGGAAGGAGGAGAAGCTTTTTTGGTTTTGCCTGGGAATGCCGATCCGCCCCGGCGGCTCCGACGTGTCTGTGCAAGGAGCCGGGCGGCCGATCCGAGGGGGCTCCGGCGATGCCAACCCCGGGCGTGGGTGGTGGTGAATCCAGCCGGCGCTTCCCGTGGGAATGGGATCCTGGCACATGGGCGAGGGGGTGGGGGATGATCCTGGGGGGCTGATTTGAGGATCTAGTGGCGTATCAAGGAATTTCCCCTGGGATTGCTGTGCCCCAGGGGGAGGCAGCTGCGGTATGGAGAGGAGGAAGAGGAGGAGGAGGAATGGGAGTTATTTTATGGAAAGAATGGGGAGGAAGAGGAGGAGGAAGGGGGTTTATTTCATGGAGAGGAGGAAGAGGAGGAGGAGGAGGAAGGGGGGTTATTTTGAAGCATCTGTCTCGCCTTCCATTTCCTCCTTTTCTTTCTCCAGCTGCCATCAAGCTGCTCTCTCTGGCAGCAACTTCCTTTCCCCTTCGCTCAGAGCAGACAGGGACTTATGGGGAAGTAGAAAACAGAGGGTGGGAGAGGGGAAACTGAGGCCAAACCACCATCCTTCCGTCTGTCCGGCCCACGGTGGGGGCCGGGGGGCATCACATGCTTCCTACCCCGGGATCAGGAGGACAAAGTCGCTCCAGGAGGGAAGAAAACTCCACGGGACAATCAGGATCCCGTGCTGGGCTTGGGCTCAGCAAAGAATGTTTATGGCCCAGATCCTTCCCTGCTCCAGAGGGAGGTGGGTCAGAGTTGGGAAGTTTTTCACCCAACTCGTGCTCTGGGTGGGATCTGACCTTTCCGAAGGGATTAGTCTCTGCGGGAATGGAGGAATTTCATCCTCTGGAGCGCAGGGAGGGGAGGAGGGACTGGCAATGCCCGAAGCCAAGTGCTGCCATGGGGCACCCGGCCCTGCCCTCGCACGTGGGTCTGTGATGGCCCCGTGACAGGGGCTCCGGTGCCTTCTCCCGTTAACCAGCACCCACCGGACCCGGTGGTGTTCCCACTCCCTTCGGATTTCCGCTGGATTTAGGGGGAAATCGCCCTTTCCCCGTGTTTTATCCACCTGGGGAAACCGAGGCACGGCCCGGGGCTGCCGGGAACGGCCCCGGGCTCTGCCCACCCGGCAGCTCCCGCCCCTCGGGGCTTCCCAAACCCTCCTTTAGCCTCGGGGCTCCCAGGGGGGTGGGTGGGGACGTCGGTGCCCGGTGACACCGGGGAGGGAGGGACACAGCACGAAACGGGACGGCACCGGGAGCTCCCGCCCCCACGGACCGGGGGAAACAGGGATACCGGGAGGGCTGGAGGGAACCGGGAGTATCGGGAGGTGCCGGGAGGTGCCGGGGGAGGGGGTCTGGTCTCGGTGGGCGGCAGAGCCCGGCCGGCCCTTACCTGCCTGCTCGGGGAGGGCGGTGCCGGGACCGGGGCCGCTCCGGTGCCCCCGGCGGGCCGGGCCGGGCCGGGGCGGGGCGGGGCGGGGCGAGGGGTCCCGCTTCCCCCGGCTCCTCTCCCTGCCCGGCGGGGCCCCGCAGCCAGTACCGGTGACCGCTCCCCGATCCGATCCCAGTGCCCGGTGCCCGGAGCCGGTGCCCGGTCCTCGGTGGAGCCGCCGGTGCCCTGTGTCGATGTCCGGTGCCCGGCCTTCGATGTCCGATGCCGGCTCCCGCTGCCAGTTCCCGGTGCCGATTCCCGGTGCCTGTCCCCGATTCTCGGATCCCGGTGCCCGATGCCGGTGCCGGTTCCCGGTGCCTGGGTCCTGGTTCCCTGTTCCCGGTCCCTGTTCCCTGTTCCTCTTCCCTGTTCGCGGTTCCCGGTCCCTGTTCCCGGTTCCCGGTCCCTGTTCCCGGTTCCCGGGCCCTCCCGCCCGCGGTCGCTCCAAGTCCCGCGCGGTCCCGGGAGCGGCGGGGGCGGGAGGGGGGCGGGGGGCGTGTCCCGCGGGCGGCGCCAGCCAATGGCGACGCGGGGCTTGCTACGAAGCAGCCAATGGGCGCGCGCGGACGGGGGTGTGGGCGGGGCCGGGGCGGGCGCGCCCCCGCGGGTCCCGCGCGTGGGACGGTCCCGTTAGAACGGGGGGGGGGGGGG